ATCAGCACCCTGAAGCCGTTATTATATTGGACTCGGAGGGTACGACGCTTAAGTATAGTCAGCCCACAGGCTGCACGTGTAAAATAAAGTGCAATACGATCTAAAAGATATCGAAATGGTTGCTTTTCTCAGTATAAGGACGATTAACATATTTTGTCCATGTCGTGTTAATATTATTTTTATATTAATATATAAGAAAATATAATATAAAAGAAGAAAATAATCTAAATGCATTTAAAAAATAAATGGACGTGCTCAAGATGTGATTACATAATATGCTCGAAGTTTATGTAAGGAAGACGTAAAATTAAATAAAATTTTGAAACAATGTGTGTTACTTCAATCAAGCTACATACGAGTATATCAGTATACATACACATTGCACTACTAGGCCATGTCTAGTATGCCTAGTATTATCTCATCAATAGCTTGTATAATATTTACATGTACTTTATTTAGATTATATTATTACGTATTTATTTGTATGTAGCACTTCCGCCAACTCAACTGTCTATTATTCACATACCGATGTGTGATGACCTATTAGTTACAGACTTCGACTACACGTACTATCGATGTTCCGTTGCATCGGAAAAAGCCTAAGAAAAATATACTCACTAAACTGTGCTTAATTGTAGTTTTTGTATTAAACTTTTATAATATAATATATTCACAGGAGCCTTAATTGTATGGTCTGGTTTATTATTACGATTGTATATTAAATGCAAGCGCGTAAAGTATGTGGAACTAACGAGTGGCACTAATTGATGCGATTTTTGTAGCAGAACGTGTATTTATATTATATTTTAGCTTAGCCGTTTACAGTTTTCACTTTATTTTGGTAACTAGTTTTTTTATTAGGTAACCTTAAACGGTTCGCTCTGGCACATTGTGGTTGTTCTAATCAGTTTTTTATTTTACTGGTGATTAAAATATAAAGAACATTGCTAATAGAGGTTTTATATAAAAAGAAAATTATATAAGCTTCACTAACCGCAACTTATGTACTTGATCTCTGTAAATCTATCTATATATTATATAATAAAACCGGTCAGGTACGAGTCGAACTCGTGCGCCGAGGGTTCCGTACCTACCCAGATTTTACGTAGATTTTCGCGAAAATTTGTAAGTACCAAAATTTATCTTAATTTTCATTTTTTTTTTTGAATTGTTGCTTTATTTGTGCTGTAAGACGTTTCTTTCAACGTCAACGGGAACTACCAAATAGGTGTTCGACCCAAAACCTATAGGGTACTTCCGGTTGACCTAGAATTGTCAATTTTGGTTAAAAGCAAGGTCTTACAGCACAAGTAAAAAGAAAATTCGGAAAAATAAAAAAAGTTGAAAATTAAGGTAAATTTTGGTACTTACAAATTTTCCCGAAAATCGAAATTTACCCATATCTTTTTATCCTGTTGACTCAGGACCTTGATTTTTATACACCTAATAGGGATCATAGACCTAGGTCTAGCCATTCCTAGATACACGGACAAGAAAGTGATCCGATGGAGCTGAAATTTTGACATGCTATACAACCCGCTTCTTTTTTATTTAAGTTGCCTTGAAAACTGCTATTTGTCTTTACCACAGATTACCCCCTAATAGATGCCGCATTATTGAATATTATATTCGAGTTTACCAAAGGAAAATGACAGGCCACATACACAATTTTATTTGAAGTGAAATGGTAGCGTTTAAATATCAAAAATGCCTAAACCACTTGAGATTTTATTCTTGATCATTCTCATAACAAAATTACTAGCGAAAGAAGACTAGGATTTGTTTGTCATGTTAACACTCATAAGAAACCCTATTTTGCCGTTGAAAGTGTAAGCTGGCTCTCTAAACGGGTGGGATTATTTGTTTGGCATGTATTAGTACAACAATAGAAAACGTCTCCAAGCAGGTAAGCAGGTATAATACTAGTACCCGGTGCTAACAGATTTAGAATATAAGTTAACTAAGGGATCAAAATTAGAAACTACACCCTATACACCTACAACCTGTCAGCAAGCGTAGTACTAGTAAGCTAAATTCCTCTTTATTTTTAAGAAAGGTCTAAGTCCAGTAGTGGACTGCGAAAGGCTGTTGCTCATTGTTTGGCTATTATTTCTTTCCAAATATAATTAACATTTGGAAAGAAATACAACTACAACGGCTTCAACTGGTGAGTGCGGAACTCGACAGGATCCAAAGGACGATGTATCAACATTTTGAAAATATCGATATGTCTATTTATGTGCCGTTATCATCAACAATGTCTTTTCGTTTCTCTTGTTTCGTGTTCTTTTCTTTTCAAAATATCGTAATATTATATTTGTTTTTTTAAACTAAAAAATGTTTTTATTATTTCTAATTATGTTGATTTATTCACTCTACCGTACGAGTGAGCAGAAGCAAATTCATTATTAAAAAGCTTCGGTAGGTATTTCAGAAGAAGCTATAATAATCGATAATCGATAAAACATTCTATAATATAATAATGCCATCACACATCCCTACTCACTTACACGTGATGGCGCATATGTCGGACATTACGTACTTAGGTCAAATTAGTTATTCAAAAACATCCTATTTCTTATAAGACTTAAACAAATGGTTGTGTAATGATAAATCATAGATAAAATATTTATTAAGTTTACTGTGAGTCATTAAGTTTTAGGTAAATATGTTTCTGCCATTGTTCTTTGGCGGTATGCAAGGGTTGCGGAGGACGTGTCAAATGCGCTGTGTTGGATATTTTAAAGTCAAACATAAAAAAAACAAACCATAGTGATGGGACAGGGTTGGGACGTTGATCGATAAAATGGTTAGATGATATGAATTATTGATATTTATTTTATTCTTGATTTATTGATTATTGATAAATAATTAAATTGATCAATGTTTAATTGATGTCCATAAAAAAATAAAACAGTGTATATATATTTCTGTGCCTCCTGTGAAAAGGAATGCAAGTAATTTTTACCTCAATTATTTAACCTTACAGGAGAATAAAACAAGATTTAAAAATTCTAGTTTGCGATTTAAGTAGGCTAGGTTAAATTTGAGTACCTTATTTTGTAGATAAAAACATTTACTTTTACTGTACATTAAATTTTTGTATTAAATATTATACTTTTAAATTAATTCTTGAAAAACTTGTGAGCTGTTACTTTTCATTTCTAATATATGCTCAAATTATGTGATAAAACATACAAGTTCAGTTAAATTATGTTACATCTATAAGCTGTCTACGTGTAAATTGATTTGTTAAGTATTTAGTTTAGTTATTGATTTATTAAGTACAAATATAACTCATTAATTCTAATGAGTTATATTTGTACTGAATTGAATATGTTTGTGGTACAAAGTTGTTCAAAGAAATAATAAAATACTACCCCAAAAATGAGATTTTTTGCTTATCAATTTATGGTTTTATAATTTGGCTGACTGGTATCAGTTTGCTAAAATTATGATCTTTTAGATTCGAATTTTAATTTAGAAATTTAAATTAGGATCTGTTCAAAGTTATATAACTCTATACTGAAAAATTAAATGTGAAAATTAATATAATCGCACTTATGTATGTCACGAAACACGAGAAATAATGTGTGCAGGAATTACTTATACAGGTTTCAACTTCAAACACGTTTACATTTACGCTATTTTTATAAAAATCCTGCCAGTTGTATCACTTTGCACAAAATCATCTCCAAAACAAGAAAAAAAGATAAAAGAACAAGAAAAAATTAATAATAAAAAAATAACGTGAGAGACAGAAAAAAAGGAAGTCTTTTTCTAAATATATCTATGTAAAAATCACAAAACTCGACTTAAATCACTCATCACAGGAGGCTAAATGCTGTATATTTTGATTGTTAAAAGTAAATTCTCTAAACTCATTTTTAAAATGGATTAATGAATCTATAACACTACATATTAATATAATCATGATGGTATCCTAAAGGTCAATTCGCTTCGTATACTTCCATCATTTTAATCGGAAAACTATTATGAGTAAAAACCAAAGCCTTACAGTTTTACAATACAACTTTTCAGCGCTTGTTACTCAAATATTATACATTTATACATGGGTACATCACTACTGATAAGAACATAACATAGGCAGGATGTACAATAATTATTTTATCAGTCGTATTGTATTGTGTAACCATTATTTTCTAATATTCGCGATCGCATTCATTAATAGTCTTTTGAAAAAAAAATACCTATTTGTAAATCAGAGCATATTACTATAATTCTTGTCTTCTTAATAAAAATAAAATAAAAAAATCTTTATTTAAAACTAAAAACACAGATTACAATATTTCAAATGTGTTTGATAATGACTGCATTAGTGAAACACTGTGGCGCAGTGACTTTTTGTTTTTTTTTTAAATTCTTGTCTTCTGTTAGGTTTTCTTTTGCAATCAAATTTCGAACATCACCTAGATCTTAAATAGCATTGTTGAATTACATTACAGAATAGGAAATCAAAGAAAATAAAATGCACTGATTATCGTTGATATTTTTGTATACACAAGTATACAAAAATATCAACGATGCATCTTGCATTATTGACATGTTTGTACTCAATTTGCCATTCGATAAAGTAAGAATTAAAATCAAATACGGGTTCATCAAGTAAAACTGAACAAAGAAATGATTAATTCAATTTCATAGGACGGTCATGGTCTTTGGTTGATCACTTGTTCATTTTTAAAGAACTGATATTTTGTCGGATTGGCGTATTGCAATTTTATTTTTTATTATTTCTACATATTTTTTTATAAATTTTATAACTTCATGACTGACGGACCATGCCTTATACCAAATAGCACAAACAAAAATGAATAGGAAAATAATACGAAAACATGTAATAATTCATTATTTAATAATATTATAAAACATATTTCCTATAGGGCTGTTGCGCCTTATTCGGTATGAGTACACTAATTAGTACAATATTTATTCTATGCAATTTTATTTACAACAACTATAATCAGTTAATGAGTGCATTAATTAGAAGAGTAAAGAGGTTCCCCAGCTATAATAGAACTTTCTATGCCACAGTGATCTTCCCCACGAAGGATTTTAAAGAAACCATTGGCTCCCCAATCGCTGTTCCAGGAGTTAGCAATAAGCCAGTATTTGTTACCATTCTCAACACCCCAACCAAGGATCTTTATTGCATGACCGCCAAGAGCATCACCAGCCGTGTGTTTATAGACACCTGTCTTATAATTAAGTAAATCAGCATATACAGTAAACGCACCTTCCACGGGTCCGTTCTTGAACAATTCCGCTTTAATGTGATCTTCTTTAGCAGACACAGAATACACGTGTTTGCCGTAGCGTTTATCTTTTTTATAGTCTACGTTATAACTGGCTTCGCAAGTCCTGTGGCATTTTGGAGTCTTGTCATCTCCGCTGCACGGCATCCTATTACCAGGTACGTGGTGTTCGCAGGGAGGTATTTCGTACGGACTACAACCTTGACTTGAATTATAACTGCCACCAGATACGAGGCCGAAGTGCTTCCAGTACTCCCAAGCCAGCGACGGTATTCCTCCATTACAACCAAGACCGCAAACAGGGCAACAACTTAGAAGATCTTCCGCAGAAAAATGGAAATGTTTAGAACCATTTGAGTACGTACAAAAACGATCAGTCATCGCTTCCACTGCACCAAACGCCCAGCAACTGCCACAAGAACCTTGATCCCTGATTTCATTTAAAGTAGGACAGTCTGGCCATTTGTCTCTTGGATCAAAGTTTTCCGGTAGGCTTGCAATTAATTCAGCGCTGTGTTCCACCTTTGGTAGTTTCGTAATGTGATTATCTTTCAAAACACCCATTAGTTTATTAATATGTTTCATAGGCGTATTAAGTGGAAATGAACGTCCAGCTGTCCAAGAATTTTGTTTTAAGTTGATATGAGCGATAAACTCATCGCTGAGCAGTGGGTTATGTTCGGCTGAAGTAATCGCGAGTGCGCACACGAGCGCAACGAGAGTTGCACGCGATGCGGCCATTATTCACTTCTTTTTTTCTTTCTCACAGCTGAGCGGTTAATGGATGTGTATTCCGAACGAATGTGGCCCGACGACTGAGTGGCGGCGACTGCGGCGGGTGTAGTTGATAACCGTGCTCGCACGCCGTGTAATTGGTCAGATGCGCACGATACTGGGACGAGACAGCGCCAGGCCGCAAGTGTCGAAGGTTAACAATACAACTACAGATAACTATAATTCAAAGCAAACAGATGTTAGGGTCCGACGCCTTACAACGATTGTATTATCAAACATTTGTTTTGTATCGCCTGGAGGTAATTAGATGGGGTTGGGGATCGGTGATCGACAAATGTTTATTTCAGGTCAGCTTCTGGAGGAGTTTTGAAATGAGCCTCGATTTTTAATATTTTAATATGCACTTGTTATTTAATTATATGGAAAAAATGAGATGAACATTTATACGCATGATACGCATAACTTTTTCATCAAAAAAAATAATTGTGTAGATAATATATTATATATATGGTCTTAACAATACGTTTTGTTAATAATATAGAGGCTTTGTTCCAAAAAAAATATCGCTTTACTTCTGAATCTCTTGTTCTGTTGTGTTTGGGTATCAGTTTTACTACTGCGAATAATGTTGTACTCTAAACCGAATCATAAGTTTATTAAATAATTGTATTCCAACTTAAACAAGTCATGACTCTTTATACAACTATACTTAAATACCATGTCGACATAATCTATAAATTACATCACTTATTATTTTCTTTCTTATACTTTATTGCAATCTGCTTCTGCCAATTATTATACGAGAAACTTTGTAGATTTTTGTTTTAGGTTACTTCGCCAAAAGTTGTAGCCGCTTTTCTTCTCAGGCGGACTACTCACCGGCTGACCCAGTGGAGAGATCTATGAGATTACCTCAGGGCGCCTTCTAAGAGAAAAGAAGTGTGTGCGTGTGGGAAACCTACGGGACTCTTTAGAGGAAAACAACTTACACCTCAGTCATACATACATGTATATTTCAAAACAAAATTAAATTTACAATAAAAAAAAAATCAGAGGGTACAAAAAAAAACCGCAGCGGAGCGCGTCAGAGCCGAGCTGATGGTGCTCGGTGCCTCCTCGTCGTCCCTCCAGGAGGTTACTTCCTCTTCCGCCCGAGTCAGCTATTTATATTGGATATGGATAAAAGTTTAACAAATTTGTAATTATAAGTTTAAGTACGTAACTCTTGGGTACGGCTGTCCGCTTGCGTCGTGAGCCGCGCAATCACCAGCCTTGCCAGAGGGTACCAAGAAACTTGAGTCTGTACCAGAAGGCCACAAAAGAGCAAGCACGCCGTCTGAGACTGACCGTCTTGAGCCCGAAATCTGGGACCCTACGAATGGATTAGCACTCATATAATTAAACAGGTTCCAGAAACAAATAGGTTTAAGTAGAATTAAGAACATACTCACCACTTTAGTGTGGGTACTTTTGAACAGATAATATATTAAGAAAATCAAATCACACAGCAATCAAAACACTATATAAGACCGGAAGGCACGAGATAGCAGTGTCTCCCGTGGCAGAAAGCCGGACTTATATATCCTAGGTTCAGGAAGCTTCCAGACTTTATCCCTACTCAACATTTTACTTTGACATTTAACATCAGTGAACACAGAAGATCAAAACTGTAGTTATAAACTACCTTAGATAAATTAAAAACAATGCAACGCGGCTAATAGATGTAGCTTTTAACAAGACCAACAAATGTACAAAAAAAATAACTGTTACACCACCCCCTCCCTCAAAGTATTCCCTGCGTAGTGTGCGCAGGGAATATCCTCAACAGGGCCAAAATCCATATAAGTGGTTTTACGAACCCCGTGGTTTAGGAAAACATTCTATACTATGACTCGCGACTACAAAGCCTGTGGTTATCCATATAGGACACCACATGACATAACCTGAAGCCATCCATATGGGACCCAAACACGACAGTAGGCCGGAAGCAATCCTCATAGGACACAAATAAGAAAAATTTTGATGTAGTCCGAGACCACAATTGAAAGAACATTTCCCATGTAGGAAATGTAGTGAATGGACCCCTCAGGTCACAAAGGGGTGTCCTGAGAAGGTCTAGTCAGTTATAACTACACCGGCTAACCTATCTAGAAGGTATCTAGCCCCAACTCTAATAAGACAATTTATAGTACGAAACGGAGTCACCTGAAGAAAAAACCTGTTCCAGTTCAAAGACCTTAAGCCCGCTGACAGACCATGTCAGAGGCGGAAAAGGCAGGAACAGCGGCGATGGCCTTAAAGCGGCCACGCCGGATAAGCCGCAAAGCAGTACGCATCTCACTTCGCAATCCGACAACCGTATCCTCAGGATTCGCTGAAATCCCCATGGAAGACAGTTCATTAATAAGTTCATCAATTTTAAGGTAGTTAATGCACTTACGAACATGTGCCATGGTGGTTTACAATTTAAATTCGATTATACAAAAATAATCTTAACAAGTTAACAAACCAGTAATGCAGACTTAATGTCTTTTACAGTTCAAAAAAAGTAAAAAATAATGATATTGAGTAGACTTCTTCACTAATAACAGAGTGTGAGAAGGTTAAAGTAAATTAATATTTAAAAAATATTATAACAAAATATTAAAACATCAAGTAATATCTCAAAGTAAAAAATATTGCTACTGAGTATATTTCTTCACCATTAAGTGTGAGAAAGCTAAAGCAAACTAATATTTTTAACAAATATTATAATAAAATATTAAAATATCAAGTAATATTTCAAAGTAGAAACTGAGTATACTTCTTCACTATTAGGTGTGAGAAGGTTAAAGCACACTAATATTTTTAACAAATATTATAATAAAATATTAAAATATCAAGTAATATTTCAAAGCAGAAACTGAGTATACTTCTTCACTATTAAGTGTGAGAAGGTTAAAGCACACTAATATTTTTAACAAATATTACAATAAAATATTAAAACATTAAGTAATTCTCAAAACTTGAGAAGCAAATTCAACTAAAGACTAAGATATTCTTGTTTCACAATTCAAGACACAAGTTATACTATCTCTAGAACATTAACACAGTAATCCAATGAAATGACAAAGTTTTTTATTATAAAAGTTAATTCGACAAAAAATTTAAGACAAGTTATATTATCTTTAGAATATTGACATAGTAATCCAATGAATTGACAAAGTTTAATTATCATAAAAGTTATTTCGACATAAATTTTAAGTAGGGTATGTATATCACAAAACTATTTTATTCTAATTTTAAGCCAAGAGGTTATATAAAAAATGGAGGGTACATAAAACTTTATACGTTAAGTTAAGTTTCAAGTAAATTACACCAGTAGTACTGGGAAAAAAACACACTGAATATACACGTATGCACAACTTCACGCTACGGACCTCAAAGGTACGAACAGAAGTAGCTAACTCAAAAAAAAAAGAAAAAGAAGAAAAATTTAGGCCAGAAAATGTTTCAAAACTTACCCGAAATATGTGCAGTAGGAATTTTGAGTTAAATTTGGAATTTAGGTGTCTCACTGATTTTCCTTGCCTCAGGGATGATGGTACGATAGGCTGAAAATACAATGAGGGTAAAATTATTACATGCGTACTGCACCCGCACAACCAATTAACGTCCTGGGGAGTATCGGACGAAGGGAAGTGTCTCCTCCAAAGTGAATACCCTCAGGCACCCTCACACAGCACACACACAGAGGTTTGGATCACTGGCCCCACGTTGGGCGCCAATTTGTAGCCGCTTTTCTTCTCAGGCGGACTACTCACCGGCTGACCCAGTGGAGAGATCTATGAGATTACCTCAGGGCGCCTTCTAAGAGAAAAGAAGTGTGTGCGTGTGGGAAACCTACGGGACTCTTTAGAGGAAAACAACTTACACCTCAGTCATACATACATGTATATTTCAAAACAAAATTAAATTTACAATAAAAAAAAATCAGAGGGTACAAAAAAAACCGCAGCGGAGCGCGTCAGAGCCGAGCTGATGGTGCTCGGTGCCTCCTCGTCGTCCCTCCAGGAGGTTACTTCCTCTTCCGCCCGAGTCAGCTATTTATATTGGATATGGATAAAAGTTTAACAAATTTGTAATTATAAGTTTAAGTACGTAACTCTTGGGTACGGCTGTCCGCTTGCGTCGTGAGCCGCGCAATCACCAGCCTTGCCAGAGGGTACCAAGAAACTTGAGTCTGTACCAGAAGGCCACAAAAGAGCAAGCACGCCGTCTGAGACTGACCGTCTTGAGCCCGAAATCTGGGACCCTACGAATGGATTAGCACTCATATAATTAAACAGGTTCCAGAAACAAATAGGTTTAAGTAGAATTAAGAACATACTCACCACTTTAGTGTGGGTACTTTTGAACAGATAATATATTAAGAAAATCAAATCACACAGCAATCAAAACACTATATAAGACCGGAAGGCACGAGATAGCAGTGTCTCCCGTGGCAGAAAGCCGGACTTATATATCCTAGGTTCAGGAAGCTTCCAGACTTTATCCCTACTCAACATTTTACTTTGACATTTAACATCAGTGAACACAGAAGATCAAAACTGTAGTTATAAACTACCTTAGATAAATTAAAAACAATGCAACGCGGCTAATAGATGTAGCTTTTAACAAGACCAACAAATGTACAAAAAAATAACTGTTACAAAGTAACAGATATTCTTTAGACAGATGTATAAAGCAGAACCGTTAATTTAACCTGTCTAACTTTCTGTCTAACTGTGTAAATTTCAACACGTGATATTTTATGCCCCCAATTTAGTTGTAAAGGAATCGCTGCAGTTATTGTTTTTTTTTTAATGGGAGAGAGATCACCCGATGGAAAGTGAATAATGCGGGCCATGAACGCCCGTAACTTTTTTTAGATAAAGTAACAAATTGGTTGTAGTTTGCTATTAAAATTTATTTTACGTATCTGGTAATGGTTGTAAACATTTGCTTATAATCAATATACATTAGTT